GAAAAAAAGACCTCTCTCCCTCTCTCTTTCTCTCCCCCTCTCCCTCTTTATTTGCATGCAAGCACCAGGACAGGGCTATGAGTAAATAGCAAGAAGTTGGTCTGTAAACCAAGAAAAGAGCTCTTATTGGGTACTGAGTGGGATGGCATCTTGATCTTGGACTTCCCAACCATCAGATTTAGAAGAAATAAATTTCTGCTGTTTAAGCCACCCAGTCTATCATATTTTATTATGGCAGCCCAAACAGACTAATAATTCTACCCCACTGGAGTTTAGCAAAAATATGTATATTTTATGAGGATTTCAAATTCAGCCTACCCTTTCCTATTTGGAGTAAAATAGCTAGAATTTTTCATTTTCCATTAAGAAATTTTCATTTAATATAGTATATTTCAGTAGATGACCAAAAAGTTGTTTCACTAAAAGTACAGCTTACATTCCCACATTTGTTGGCTTAAGAGAGAGAGTTCCAGATTCCTCATAAGGATCCCAGCCTTCTGATATCATGACCCAAGTACAACAGCATTCTTGTTCCTTTATTAGAATAACCCTAGTCCATTCATTTAGTAGGTAGCATAAGACCTCAAAGCCAGATACTCAGGTTGATTTAGAGCTGTTAGAGTAAACCAAAAATAATTACATATATTTATCCAAAAAGTTGAATTTTTTTATTCATTGTTTTTGTTTGTCTGTTTTGAGTGTTAATGGGTTTTGTTGTTGTTGTTATATTCTGTGGCATATTGACTATTATGGCCAGGCATACAGACAACTTCACTCAGTTGGATTTTAAACAAAGTTCACATTTTCAGCTTTGAATATAGTCTATTTGATTATTTGTTTATGACACTGTTATTGTGTATTTTTCTCCCTGTATATTCACTTCGTTTTTTGATACTCTTGTGTAAATTTCAAAAGAGAAATACTGTGATAGCTTAGAATAGATATTTGACGAAACATGCATTTTGTTTTAATACCCTGTTGCAATAAAGAAAATTTTTGATGTGGGAATGCTTTAGAGTGCCTCTAAATTTTCAGATTTCATTATATACAATCTGATGAGGGAAAACCCAAAACAATAAAAAAAATAGTCCCTCAAGACATGGTTATTTACTTGCGAAAATACTTTTGGAGTAGTTATGCCCAATGCATTGCTGTGTTCAGTTTATTTTTTCTTCCTCTCTGATATTTTTATGCATTCAATATGTATTTTACTTTCACTTTGCTTTCACCATAGTAGGTACTGGTAGATACAAAAGTGAATCAGACAGAATTACAACCTCAAGAAGTCCTCAATCATGGGAATGGCCAGATATTAAGAAATAATTACAATGTAGTATTATATGTATAAAGATGGCATGTAAAAGGCAAAGTGTTGGTACAGAAATAAATGAAGTTTGCATGCAGGAGGTAAGGAGATGGACGTATATGTCATCACTGAAACCTCCAGAGAAAACATAACTATGATCTTTGTGCTGATCTTGACATAATACTTTACTAGAAAGGGTATAAATATGTGAAGCACCCAAACGACATGTCTGGGCAATTTTCTATTGCTAGACAAAAACAGAGGGAAGGATGATAAGGCGGGAGAAGTTCAAGAAGGAAGGTCTTTGAACTCCTGTACCATCATTACTGTCTTTTTGCATCAGGATTCTTCTGGTTTCAAGCAACAGAAACTCTAAACACATAAGCTCAATATGAAAATGAAATTTATTTTATTTTATGTCTCAGAAATATCCAGAGCTAGCATCAGAAAAACAATCTGGATACCAGATCTAGGTGACATTTATTAAAGGCAGTATTTAACAATCATAAAATTGCTGGAGATTTGGGGTGCCTGGGTGGCTCAGTCAATTAAGTGTCTGCCTTTGGCTCAGGTCGTGATTCCAGGGTCCTGGGATGGAGCCCAGAGTCGGGCTCCCTGATCAGCAGGGAGCCTGCTTCTCCTTCTGCCTGCCACTCCCCCTGCTTGTGCTCTTTCTCCCTCTCTCTCTCTCACTCAAATAAAATCTTTTTTAAAAATTGCTGGAAATTCAGGGTGATGTGCTAAGACATTTAAGAGGGTTGGTCAGCTGCCCTCTGTGGCTTCCTGTGACCACGGAGAACTTAGAGACAATGAAGATACAATTGCCTCGGCAAGAACACAGTCACTGGTGAGGAAGCCAGGGAGACTGGTGAAGCCATGCTCTCGGAAGAGCCACTAGTCTGATTTCTTACATTATCCTTTGCTGTGTTTATACTCTTTGAGCCTATAGATATAAAATCTAACTTCTGAAAAAGCGGGAGTGTTCATTGAAGTGCTCACTTTCATGATGTGTCAAAGCCAGTACTCTATGGGATTAATTTATTTCTTAAAAAAATTTGGGGTGTCATTCCCAGAAGGACAGCATGTTAGGTAGGCAAAAAACACAAATCCACTCAAAGGCTAACTGCTTGATGTGTATAGGAAACTGTAAATGCCTCAAGGACAGGGAAAACATCCAAAAATTTCTTAATTTTCTAGATCACCCAAGAAAGCTGAGTTAGAATGCATAAAATTGGTAAGAGTTTATTAAGACCAACTAACTTGTTTCTTCCTTTCATGCAGTATTTTTCCCTGAATCCCAAGGACTTATTTCCTATTTTACACATTTTATTACTGACATTTAGAGCCTAAAAAATATGCTAAACCATCTTAATTAGGTAATAACCACTCAGAAGATAGGCTATTTTTTCTATTCTTTTCCACCTCCAGCCTCTACTACAAAGTCATTAATTAATTTAATCATTCATATGTTTATCAAATAGAGAATAATACTATGCATTAGACAATGTGCTAACTACTAGAGATACAAAGATACAAAGATGAACATGACAGTATTCCTTACCACAGATTTCAAATTAACTGTTTTACACTGTTGCTTACTACAAGTTCATCCTAGAGGAAGAGTCAGATTATAACAAATTAATACCCTGCAAACAAAGAAGTACTCATTAGTGTATAAAAAACGAGATCACAGAGAATGAAATAAATGTTATCCTATGATAGATGAAGAAATTCTCAGGGCACCCTCACAGATGAGAAGATTATTTAGACTAAACTCACAGATTCAACGTTTATTAGACTAAGTCATATAATATAAACTGGGTTTATTTTTACTTAAGAAAGGAATAAAAACAATTTATTTCAGTATGTATGTATTGTGGGTCTGCTGATGAAAATTTCTTTTGGATTCTCTTTTTTCTAGAAAAAAAATATTTTTCCTTAAATTTTGGAAGACTTACTGGTAAAGGATATTAGGTTGGGCTTTTTTTTTTTCCCTTGGCGCTATTAAAATGTCATTCCATTTCATGCTGGTTTTCATAATTTCCGTTACAAAGTCATCTGTAAGTCTTTCTTTTGCTCTTTTAAAAGTTATGTGCCATCCTTTTTGAACTAGTTTTAAGACTTGTCTTGGTATTTGGTTTTCATATTAACGTTAATATAATTGTCTAAATGTGCTTTCCTTGCATTTATTCTGAATTAGTTCAACAAGCTTCTCAAATCAGTTTTAGAAAAGTATCAGCCAGGACACCTGGGTGGCTCAGTCAGTTAAGCCTCTGCCTTCGGCTCAGGTCATGATTCCAGGGTCCTGGGATCGAGTCCCACATCGGGCTCCTTGCTCAGCAAGGAGCCTGCTTCTCCCTCTGCCTGCCTCTGTCTGTCTCTCTCTCTGATAAATAAATAAAATCTTTAAAAAAAAAAAAGTATCAGCCATTATTCCTTCAAACATTGCCTTCTCATTTCTCTCCTAGAGTCCCACTGCTAGTAAATAGTAGAGGTAGAATTTGATCAGCACCAAGAAAAGATGATTTTATTAACTATGTTTTAAACCTCTATGCTACAACATGTATTTTAGCTAAAAATACAAGATGACCTTTTCTATTTCCAACTTTGTTCAAAAGAATCAATTTTGCAAGAATTTTCTCAAATAGGGCGCCTGGGTGGCTCAGTTGGTTAAGCGACTGCCTTCGGCTCAGGTCATGATCCTGGAGTCCCGGGATCGAGTCCCGCATTGGGCTCCCTGCTCGGCAGGGAGTCTGCTTCTCCCTCTGACCCTACCCCCCCCTCATGTGCTCTCTCTCTCATTCTCTCTGTCAAATAAATAAATAAAACTCTTTAAAAAAAGAATTTTCTCAAATAGCATTTTCTTTTTTTTTTTTTTTTAAGATTTTATTTATTTGACAGAGAGAGAGAGCACAAGCAGGTGAAGCAGCAGGCAGAGGGAGGGGGAGAAGAAGGCTCCCCATTGAGTAGAGAGCCCAATGTGGGACTCAATCCCAGGACCCTGGGATTTGACCCAAGTCAAAGGCAGACACTTAACCGACTGAGCCACCCAGGTGCCCCTCAAATAGCATTTTCTACAAATTTGTTATCTTAATGTCTTTTCAAACAAGCCAAGGACTTCAAAGACACAGTCTAATTTGCTGACTTGCCATTTTGTTATAATTAAAATGAGGTTCTTTTTTTCTGGAAACACAATTCAAGCTACCATAAAACATCTGCTAAATGTGTGTGTGTGTGTGTGTGTATTTTCTCAGTTTCTCCACTGCTGGAGATTTCTTAGAACTGGAATTTCCTATTCAAACAGTTTGCTGGCTTTTTTTTTTTTTTCTTTTGTAGAGAGAGAGTACAAGCCCTGAGCTGGGGGTCAGGTGGAGTGGGGGGGAGGAGTGGCAGAGGGAGAGGGAGAGAGAGAATCTTAAGCAGGCTTCACACCCAGTGAGGAGCCCAACACAGTGCTTCATCTCACCACCCTGATTATGACTTGAGCTGAAATCAAGAGTCGGTTGCTTAACTGACTGAGCCACCCAGGTGTCCCAACAGTTTCCTGACTTTGATGTTAGCATCTTTTCATTTACATATGGAGATTCTACATATTGTTTCTGAAGTTGTTTTTACATTATTTCTGACATCTTTAATAGACAATTTTCCATTTCCTAAGAGGGCATTTTTAAAAAAAGATTTATTCATTTGACAGAGAAAGAGAGCACAAGCAAGGGGAGCGGCTACAGAAGGAGAAGCAAGCTCCCCGCTGAGCAGGGAGCTCGATGCAGGACTCAATCCCAGGACCCTGGAATCATGACCTGAGCTGAAGGCAGATGCCCAACTGACTGAGCCACCCAGGTGACCCTTAAGAGGACATTTCTGAATAGTTCTAAATAGCATTAGTTCTCATGGTTTGATTAAGGCTTATAATAGGCTCAGAGTTTCTATCATATACTGTTCAAGAAAATGATTTTAAATATACAACATTGGGGAAAGATTTTTATTTATACCACAATTTAGGAAATATTATATAATAATATTAATAAAGAACAACTATTTGTCCCAAGAAATATTAAGACCAAGAAGAAAATGAACAAGTGTTGTTAGAGTAGTATTTGAATTAACAAAGAATTTACTAATAATCTCTATGTGCTTTACACTAATATATCTACAAAAAAAAAAAACTAATATCCAAAATATTTTCAAATTTTCAGATATCCTTTAAGTAATAATGTCATTTTTCTCAAGGATGTTACATCTTTTTCATGTGTTTAGTCTCACATTTCTTAATTTGGGATTAATTAATCTAACAAGAAAATTTATATTTGAGTTTTTTAAAAAATGTGTTAAATTGAAGCCACAGGGAAACATATAGTAGGAGGAATGAAAACATGAGTTTAAATATTTTGATAATTGCAAATATGTGTTTTCTTATCAAAAACAAAATTGCAATGTTTATTTTCATTTGGAAAAGAGTAAATTATCTTACATTATTATTGTATTGTCTGAATTCCCATTAGCAGTCTCTAATGTTGATGTTTACTTACCTATTTTATCATACATGCAGAATTAGCATATATACCAAGATGTTGGGTATTTAAAGTATAGAGGGCAATTGAAGTAGTAAAATCTTTGTCAAATTATTTATGAAAACAGTTTGTAGCTTTTATCAATTAAAATTGTGTTTTAAGTGGTATTTTTCTAAAGTTAATATATTTATGTACTGATTCTAAACATTATGTTGTGTAATTGAAATTATCTATTTCAGCTGAGAGTGCAATGAATCAAACTTGTCAATTATTTTGAAAACACTGTGGTGTATCATAACACTAGAGACCTTGACCTTAGCTCCAGTGTATCCTGTAATCCCTACAGTGTCAGGAGAATAGTTTAACCAAGGCTGAGATTAGAGACGTTAAATGGGATGTTTTGCTGGCCACTGTGGGTGTAGTCAGAAATCCAAATAATTATATTCAAAGGATTACTAGAGAATTAACAAATATTTAAATACTTTTACTTACTAATCTATTAGTCCAGGTATTGGCAATAAAGAGAGACATCAAATACAGTATGGAAAGTGACAGGTATCCCAGAAGGATCAGAAAAATATGGAACCTGGATATCAACCCCAACCAGTATGAGTTTTGGGTTTTTACTGATAAGGAATAAGAAGTATCTTAGTTCAGAGGAAGCTGGCAAAATACAATTGGGATCTCTATGAAAGGGACATTTAATCCCCATTAAGTGAAAATGTAAAATAATAAAAGAAGAAATATAAAACATAATGAAAGAACAAGAACTATGAACAGAAAAGAACAGATTTTAAAAAAAGTAAAATTCTGAAGTAAAAAGAAAAGAGATGATTAGTTAATTAAAAGAGAATGCTGAATATATAAGAAAGTGTTTAACTAGAAAAAGTCTTATATACAAGCAAAATTAAAAAAAGAGTTCCAGAAAAAGAGAAAAGAGATATAAAGGACAACAAGATGATAAAACTGTTTTTCATGTTATTGACAAATTATTCTAATCCAGACAGGACAATTTTTTTTTAAATAGAGTAAATAAGAGGGAACGAAAAAATAAAAGAGGTATAGAAAGAGAAAAAAGAGAATAAAAAAAAGGAAAAGAGAGAAGTGAAAGACTGAGAAGAGGGGAGTTTCCCTTAAAGATATAAAGACTTACTATGGATCTATAGTAGTTAAAATGGTGTAGAACTGGGGTGCCTCGCTGGCTCAGGCAGTAGAACATGTGACTCTTGGTCTCAGGGTTGTGAGTTCAAGCCCCATGTTGGGCATGGAGCCTACTTAAAAAAAAAAAAAAAAAAAGAATAGTGTGGTGCTGATGCTTGAGTGGATAAACAGTAGAACAGAACAAAGTACGTGGAAACAGATCCATTAATATGACACTATAGTATATGAGTGATATGGAATTATAAACCAGGGAAGAGATGACTTAATGGTGCTGGGACAATTGGCTATTCACATGAATAAAAATAAAATTAGATCCTCATTTCAGATCAAACACAAAAATTCAGCCCAGGTAGGTCAAAGCATAGGATTTTAGGGCAATTCAAAAGGACTTAATTTGTTTTTTTAATTGCTAAAAAATATAGCATTAATAATTTTTGCTCTATAGCATCATTTTAATCTGTTCTAAAAACTTTAATTCCTTTTCCATTGAAATATATATTTTTTGCATGCTTGCTTTTTTAAAAATATTTTATTTATTTATTTATTTATTTATTTATTTACTTACTTACTTACTTACTTATGTATTTGAGAGAGAGAGAGAGAGAATCTGAAGCAGACTCCACACGGAGTGCAGAGCCCAATGTGGGGCTCGATCCCACAACCATGAGATCATGACCTGAGCTGCAATCAAGAGTTGGATGTTCAACCGACTGAGCCACTCAGGCACCCTTGTTTTTTTGTTGTTGTTATTGTTTTTACTGTGAGCTTGTTCTTTATTAAAAATATACATTATAAAATTGTCCAACTTTAACCCTTAAGTGACATTTCATCTATTATTCAGCATTTAATATATCAACTAAGGGTAGGGAAAGACATTGGTTACAGTTATAAAATCTTTAAAAATCTTTGTTAAATAATTCATTGGTTAATATCTTTGGTTGTGAAAATCCCTCTATTCCTTTAACCACCTAACATCCTAAAACAAGACATCTTCTGAATATATTCTTTAAACACTCTTAAATCTTCATATAAATATCTGCATCTTTGTTCTTCTTTCTCCCTCCCACCACCCTCTCCCCCCAAAGAAATACTCTTTATGGTTTCCTTCTAAGTTTCTGTGCTATTTTTTTTTTTTTAAGATTTATTTATTTATTTGAGAGAGAGAGAGAGGGTGGGGAGGGGCAGAGGGAGAGGGAAAAAGAATCTCAAGCAGATTCCCTGCTTAACACAGAGCCCAATGCAGGGCTCAATCTCATGGCCCTGAGATCATGACCCGAGCCAAAATCAAGAGTCAGATGCTTAACTGACTGAGCCACCCAGGTGCCCCAAAACTTGTAAGAAACTTTTGACCAGCACCTGGCTAATAGAAACTAATATTTTAAATGATACAAAATAAAGTATTCTGAAAAAAATCCCCCCAAATTTGCAAAAATAATTTACTTTAAGACTTTATTTTTAAGTGTGTATTTAAATATTGTCTCGTTTTAAAGATCTGTGAAAAAAGAATTTTTTCTTACTAGTTTAAATAATAAATTACAATACTCTTAACTAAAATTGTAACCTACCTGCACTTTTAAACATTATTTGAAGTAGATGATGAGACAATATTGTTTCAGTTTTTCATGTGAAAATTCAAGTATTGTGCTAACAGACACACACAAAAAAACTAGATTCCCTCATGATATCCTTTGCTTAAAGAAGAAATTTTAAGTGTTAGTGTCATAAAAACACATTTTGCTTTGCCTAAAGGCATTTAAGTAGTTTCTGATGTTTGGGCATTATGTAAATGATTTTTCTAAATATCTTTTGTGCATTTTCATATTTATTTTAACATCAAATTGGATTTCACAATGCCCACTAGGCAACAGAAGTTTTTAAGCTTATAAACTATATCCATTTTGTATTTTATTTCATTCTTCCATCATATAAATTTGACATATACAAACACTTCCTCAAGTACATGTGTGATTTTCTATATTTTCTCGTGTTCCTTCTGTTTCCAGTGACTGTAAAATGTATTTGGAAATGATAAAAAATATTCCACATGCTAAGTTCTGTGCTGCCCTGAATTTAATAAATCCCAAACCAAAAATACTCATATAGATTAAAATTTCTCTATCATTAAAGAGAGTTACATTCAAATAAAGTCCAATGTAAATAAAGATAACTCTTTCTTGCATCTTATAAAATATTAGTTTAAATGTCTTGAATAGGGGCACCTGGGTGGCTTAGTTGGTTAAGCGTCTGCCTTCGGCTCAGGTTATGATCCCAGGGTCCTGGGGTCAAGCCCGGCATCGGGCTCCCTGCGCAGTGGGGAGTCTGCTTCTCCCTCTCCCTCTGCCTGCAGCTCCCCCTGCTTGTGCTCTCTCTCTCTCTGACAAATAAATAAATAAAATCTTTTACAAAAATAAAAAAATAAATAAATGTCTTGAATGTCTTCATCTTAACCTTCCAGATTTACTCTCCATCTTCTTTTTATCCTGTTCTGCTCCTTTTGGGGCTGCATCCAGTTGCTCCGTTGCCTTCAGTTGGGCAATGGGAAGCACCAGCAGATGGGACTGCGGGAGCAAAGTGATACTGGCCCATTTATTCCCCCTGTTCTCTTCCTGCCCAGTTTCCATTTGGCTGTGCCCCTTTACTGAAGGTCACAACTTCTATTAGGCATCTTTTCCATATAATTATCCTCTCTAGATTCTAGTAACTTTCCCTTTCCTTCCTCTTACCTCTTCAGGTCTAGGGGTAGTAAGGGCTTCCCAAAGTATTCCCAAAGTATATGAGGGCAACTCTCTCCCTTTCTTCCTTCCTTCCTTTCTGAAGATTTTATTTTTAAGTAATCTCTACACCCAACGTGGGACTCGAACTCACAACTCCAAGATCAAGAGCTGCATGCTCCATTGACTAAGCCAGCCAGGTGCCCTGAGGGTTACTATTTCTTAAACCTTGCTCACACCCTTATAGTCTCGTTATTAAACTTTTCTCAAATTATCTGGTTTGAATGAGCTATTTGTTTCCTTCCAGGACTCTGACTAATACATACAGTTTCTCATAGAACTTTCTAAAATATTTATATAGGCTAATATTTTTGGTACTCATGGAATCTTTATGTAAACTCAAAAGTCAACACATTGCTAGTTTGTCATACAGTATGTAGTCTGAATTGCCATTAACTATGCATTTCTCTTTACTATCTCATCAACTTCTATTGTATTATCTAGAGTTCACGTTGTTCAGTAATAACTAGAATGTTCCTTTACTGTTTACCTTCCCTCATAAGCATCTTACTCTTACCATTTTCTGAAATTCCTTCACTTGGCTTTATTCCCATGCCTTTAAATTTTCTGAATAGCTGAGCTCAAATATGAACTTAAAATAGTTAAAATAATAACTAAAATAATTAAAAGGTAACTTTAGGAATAGAGTTAAATATGTCCCTAGGATGTGAGGGTGATCTGGCTGTGACATCTGAGACCTCATTTATCACTAAGGTTGATTGAGCTGATCTGGCTGGCTAAGCAGGTGTCCCCTTCCTCCCTCACCACTCCCTCCCGAAGCCATGTGCTGTGTCCAAGAGGATGACCTTCTAGGATAGAAGAGAACCATTCTTTTGTCAAGGGTATAGGGTCCTTCCTTGCTAGCACTTCTAAATAAGCTTTCAAGGTCCATTTGTAGGAGATTGTAGGGTAGTCAAGCTTCCAAGACTCCAGACACATCCAAATGAGGTGATGCATGAGGCAGTCTGCCTTTCTAAAATAAATAAATAAATAAACAAACAAACAAACAAACAAATAAATAAATAAATAAATCCGTCCCTGGAGGTACCAACGTCATTTTAATTTCCTGTATACTGTCAAAGATTTACTAAGATAAATCAAAGCTGTAAGACCTATGACAGGTACCTTTTCCCAATGCAATAAAGAATTACATCACTCTAAAATTTGTCATTTCTATACCCTCTTGTATTTAGCTGCTCAGATACCCAGTAATATTAAGCTCGATATAAAGGGAACCCAACTCCCTTAATTCATCTCCCTACTTCCAGTTTCACACAGATTCAGTATCTTTTCTAAATGGTCACCGGAGTACATTTTCTAAAACAAAATCATCTTATTCTAAGACTTCGATAGCTCCCATTACAAAGATTTACAAGATAAGTTCGAACCCTCCCTGAATACTCACCAACACACTAAGCTCTTTAAACTGTTCTGTAGTTATCTATTTCAAGCTTCTCAGCCTTTGAACATGACATTCTCTCTCCCAGAAATGCCTTTCTCCATCTTGCCTGCCTGCTGAACACCCAATCACCTTCCAGAACTAAGCTCAAATTGTGACAACATGCCTGGTTTCTAAATTATTAGCACATCCTTCACCCAACACTAAGGACTATATTTTTATTTTAGTGCCTAACCTGCATTTATTTATTATCCTCTGCTGGAGTGTGAGTTCCTTAGGGCAAAGACTGTGCTTATTCACTGTCATTTCTCCTGCACCAGCTCAATGACTGGCATTAGAGGTACTCTGAATGGTGTATGAATGATGACGGGGCTCCCGGAGCAGATCTGATCTCCTTCATTCCTGCTTCCTAGCAGTAACCTTACTCTGGTTCTTTGAGCAGACGGCATTTTAAGATTCGAACTAAACTCAGTTATAAGGTGATGCTAGGTGAGGCAGAAGCAATGTTCTGCCTTACAAAAGATTCCCAATTAATAACTGTAAAAATTGTGAGGGAAGAGAAAAATCACTATTAGAACTCTACAGTATAATTGCTGCAGGCAAGATCTTTCAGTGCAGGTTAAAATTATTGGGCAGAAGTCTAGGGAGAAATAGGATATGTGTATAGTCTCAAAGTATCTCTTTCCAAATATGTATTAATCACAAAGAGAAAAATGGTAGCTTTAAAGTAGGAAAACCTGGCAGACATCACCTTAACCAAATTAACATCACCAGTAGGAACTCATGTCAATATCACATGCTTCCAATATGATACAATGAGGAAACTTTACCTCTGTGGTCTCTTTTCCAATAATTCATGACCCCGGTATAACCATGAGAAAGCAACAGACAAACTTAATTTGAGGGACATTCTACAAAATATTCAACCTTCACTCTTCAAAATAGTCAATGTCATGAAGGCTAAGGAAAGACCAAGGAACTGTCACAGATAAGAGGAGACATAAATGTTATGTGGAATTCTGGAACAGAAAAGATACATTGATGGAAAAAACTGACAATATCTGAATAAATTCCATAGATTAGTTAAGAGATAAAAATAAACACATAACTGGAAGTTGGTACGTTTTGACCCCTGGTTTAAACTTCCAGTTATAGGGGCGCCTGGGTGGCTCAGTCGGTTAGGCGTCTGCCTTTGGCTGGTGTCATGATCCCGGGGTCCTGGGATGGAGCCCTGCTCAGTGGGGAGTCTGCTTCTCCCTCTCCCTCTGCCCCTCCTCGCCCTTCCCCACCCTCCACCCGCCCCCCTTTTGTGCTCTTTCTCGCATGCACACTCAGTCTCGCCCAAATAAATAAATAAAATCCTTAGAAGGAAAAAAATATAAACTTTCAGTTATAAAATAATAAATATTGGGGATACAATGTACAGTATGACTGACTATAGTTAATAATACTGTATTGTATATGTGAAAGTTGCTAAGAGTGTAGATCTTGAAAGTTGTGCCATCACAAGTGAGAGAACTTATAACTACATGTGGTGATGGATGTTAATGAGATTTATTTCAGTGATCATTTATCATATATGTCATGTGTGTGCATATCATTATGTTGTACCCCTGAAACTAATATAATGTTGTATCTCAATTATATATAAGTAAAAACACTTAAAAATACATAAATAAAATCCCTCTTTCTCTTGACAAAAAATGCCAGAAATATATTTTACTTCTCCAAAGAAAAATCCACACATCTAGTTTGATTTTTAGCCAAAGCTATTGTTTTCCTTTTATTTTGGCCCACATTGATTCAGTTTCAAGACAAGCCCTCATTAATATATCAAAAGTTTGAATACTTTTACCTGTTTACTTGGACAACCATTATTTGTTTTAAAGTTATTTGCCACACTATGCTAAATAACTAATTTACTAACACTAGTAATTTCGACAACTCTGTTTCAGAAATAAGGAAACTTTTATTAAAGGAGGGGAAGTTACTTGCCCAGGATTCCACAACCGGTAAGTGGAAGAGCACAAATTTGACTTTTATGATTTCATGACTCCAAGTCCATGTTTTAAAACTCTATACTGTGCCTCTTCCTTCAAAAATCAACAGCCCAAAACTCACATTTATAAAAAATATCTGAAACTGAATTCAGTAAATAAAAATTTAAGCCATGACAGCTTTCTCCAAACTTTAAGAACTATCTACGCAATCTATTCACTTACCCTTCATTAATTTCCCCCCCAAACTCATGGCACAGAACAATTTTTAATGAAAATGATTTAATTTTATTAGGTACTTTATTACATTCTTTACTTGTACACTGTATAGATTTTCAAACAGGCATTGTATAGATAGTGGTGTTCATTTAAAAGTCTTTAGCAATTTATTGTTATGTGGAAAATGGATGAGCCTTACCTGCACTATCAGTGTATGTGAAAGATTTGTGTAATTTTGAAATTGCTTCTAGAGGGTTTCATTTTTGAAATTGAACAATGGGCTTATGCAGTCATACCCTTTGAAAACCAGCCAATTTCCATTGAACTGATAGCATTTTATCTGTGTGTATTCTCAGGTTGTTGGGTTAGAGACTGTTGATGCAGAACCAACATGACAAGTCTCTGTTCTAGCAATTCCTGCCATAGATTGCCTTTTGCAGAAGAGTCACTGTTAGAATTATTTTACCCGTGTAATGAAAAAGAGACTCAGTGAGAAAAAGTCTTTTCTTGTTATATATTATGATAGGAGCCAATATCCCCTTTGCATTTTAAAGCATGATGACATTTTCCCAAATCACATTATGTCAGACCCAAGCATATAGGTGCCTTGCCTTGCTCTGCTTTTCTGTCAGGCTCTGTCATCAGGTCTGGGCAAATTCTGATATAGGATTTTGAAGGGAACTTAAGAAAATATTCTAGTGAAAGATAACAAATCATAATTTTCAAATAAAGTTTTCTTTTGCCAGAAAATATTTTTTAGACAACCTAGAATGTATCATTTGTTTCCAATCTTATTGACAAAAAAAATAACATTCTTCTATTTGCAATAAAATTCTGTTTGTTCTATTTTTGTATTTGAAGTATGTGAGTCTTTAAGCAGGCAAAATATTTTCTGAACTCAGCAGTTTTTCGTGCAAATAAAACTGCTTTGAGCAAACTTTCCAGGCCTGCAAACACTGGGGCAGGAGAGCACATCTCAAGAGACCACTCCTGGTCATTAGGCTAGACCTTTCCATGAAGCACATCCAAGGTTTGCACTCTTGGTCATGACTGGCTTTCACCTAACATCCATTACTGTGTAGAGTGCTTATGAAATGGAACTGGAAGTGGAAACCTGACCTGGATTGAAGTCTGTGTTTTCCCTCATTTCTACTGTAAAGTAGGGCTGTTGCATTCTAAGTGTTATTTGTATTCTGTATTCTTGTGGAATAATGATTCTTTCACTCTTAGCAGTAACCAGGGAACCTAACAAGGGGCAGTGTAATGGGTTGGAGGGTAAAGATATAACATGAATGGGTGCAGAAGTCTTTTCAAGTTGGAAGTGCATCTTCTGTTTCAGGATCAGAAGAAAAAATATGAATAAAGAAGTGATTCAAGTAAATGGACATATATATTTAAAGCAATTCTAACAGAAAAGTGTCGAGGTCAAAAGTAGGGAAGAAAAAGATGTGATGAGGAAATTTAACAGAATGTTTCCCAAGTTCATGTGGAAAAATAAACTTGAGAAAATACTGATAAAACTTTTGAAGGGAAAATAATGAAGACCTTGCCTAACAGATATTTTGAACAATTATAGGCTGAGGTTATTAATACTGATTTATTGCAGGAATATACCAAAAGATTAAAGGGAAAGGGCTGCCTCTAGCCTATATGATGACTTTGTGCCAATTAGAGAAGCCCCCTGCCGCCTTCCAAGGAAGCTCTGCAGGTGCTTCGCTAGAACCTGAGGCTGTCTCCCTAATTAGAAAAGATGCCCCTTTCTCTAGGCTCATGGGCTGCACTGGCTTGGCTGGCATAGGAGCTTGGCTAACTTTCACTCTGCACTGTGCTTTTTGGGGGCTCTTACTGCATTGTGCATACTGTTTGATTACACCTGGAAGTTCGCCAGGAACAGACACGTTTCATATTTCTTCTTTTTTTTTTTTTTTTTTAAAGATTTTTATTTACTTATTTGACAGAGAGAGAGCGAGAGCAGGAACACAAGCAGGGGGAGTGGGAGAGGGAGAAGCAGGCTTCCCGCCGAGCAGGGAGCCCGATGCGGGACTCGATCCCAGGACCCTGGGATCATGACCCGAGCCGAAGGCAGACGCCCAGCGACTGAGCCACCCAGGCGCCCAACACTGTTTCATATTTCAATTAATATGTGATAAGGATTACTTCTAAAACCACAGGAGAAAGAATGACTCATTCATTAAACAGTGTTAGACACCTAGGTAATTATCCAGGGGTGGGGGCAGGGGAGAACAAAAGCCTTATCTTAGATTTCACACCAAACTAAATTGGGGGGAAAAAAAAGTAAAAAAATAAAACTACAAACACTGGAAGAAAATATAGGTGATTAGTTTGGGTGGAAGGTCTTTATAAGCATTACCAAAAACCCCCAGAAGACATACAAGACTACCTTTAAAGAAATTGTATATAGTCCAAAGGAATCAACAAAATGATTTAATTATTTAAATTAAGTTTAAGGAAACACCTTATTTTTTGCTAGAGATTAATACATATATTAAAGAACCCTTAAAAATCATTACGAAAAAGAAAAATATACAAATCCATTGGGAAAAGAGAAAAAAATGAGTAAAATATACAAATAGCCAGTTCACAAAAAAAAAATACAGATGCTTACTAACTGTATGAAAACATATTCAGCTTTATTAACAGTGAAAGTTAAACAATAAAAGAATAAGAATTCAAACAATAATTGAGCTAAATTCTCACTTAGATTATTTGAAACCTTAAAGGAGTTTGGAGAAAAAAGTAACAACCAAGATGGAGTAGTTTACACAATAGCATTTGCATACATTAAAAAGCATAAAAAGTAAGTATTTTGCAAGAATACATATAAAATTTTTAAAAGATACATATTAAAGCACATTAGAATGAATGCTAGTGTTGGGTTAGCGGATGGGAGAAAATGGAGATAAAAGCACATCATGAAATAAAATCAAGAGGGGACTGTGGGAACTTGCAGGACAATGACGTGTCAAGAACACCGAGAAGCATGCTTCACACAGCCCCCTGTGCCTGTTTCCTTACTAACTAGGTAACACAGGTAATCAAGAAAATACAAGTGTTGCACATTAAAGAAATGGCACTCACTTATATACTGCTCCTAAGAGTGTACGTTTTTATTAACTTTCCAGAATTAGTTTGGCAATATGAATTTCATCTATTAAGAGTGGCCAAGCAAGGTAAACCTCTGCACTGGGACTGGGATGGGGGGATTGCAGTGGCCCAGAGAGGGGTCAGGAAGCCCAAGTGTAGTGAAAAAGGTGACCTCCTGAAGGAGCAGCCTCGGGTAACAAGTTAGAGCCCAAGTAAGATGCAGAAGAAATCACACAGAAGTCAGCCTGGCCATGTGCTGGAGTCCTAGGTGGGGGAAGATGTAGGGGTCTGTCTTGAGTTGTTGGTCCTGAGCAGGATGGTGAAGATATTCCTGCGGAGAAGTGGCCTGGCCACACAGGGGAGGGACTGTGACAGCCACGGGAAATTGGTTATAGACCAGGACACTGACTAAATAAGAAAATATATTAAGGATAATGGGAGTAGAATTAGATTTTCACTGGAGGAGAAGGGAGTTACAAATATGAAATTTGGAATTAGAGGTAAGTGCATGAGCTCAAGATTTTCAAAATGAAAGATTCAGAGGGAGAGGGAATAAAATATATAAATGTATACATGTATTCCCTGGTTTTGGCTACTGAAAGGGACTAAGTAAAGCAAAAAGCCTAATTGCAATGACACAGCACCTGGAGCTCAGATTGTAAATATCATCCTTCAGTGAAAGGGACTGTCTTCTTTCAAGAAATGGCTGATTCTAGAGCTGGGGCCGGGAAAATGTAAAATGAGACTTGAATACCTTTTTGTGCCCAGAAGTGAGGAAGTGCTCCTGGACGATGGAGACATGGCTATGGGACACAGAAGTTAGCTTGAAAGGACTCACTTTGGCCAAATCTGACACAATGTGAATCTCAAAATAAATCATGAAAATAACAGATTATAAACTGTTAATACTGTAAATAAATAAATGAATGAATTGAAAGTTTGATGAGGAATGAAATATTTACATAGTTTCAAAGTACTTCTTCAGAAAATACCTACCAATTATAAAGGGAAAGAGAAGAATGTTATAGAGGAGATGCCTGACAGGGACCATCACCTTAACCAAGTGAGGATGATCCATAATGGGACACATCAAAATTGGGTGAAATATGATAGGATAAAAAAAAAGAACTTAGTATTACACTTTCATGTTTTACCCAAAGATTCGTAACCTGAGTCTAACATAAATATTTGTCCAGATGGCCATAGTTTGCTTATAATGGAAAAAAAATATTAATAAACACAGGGAGGGGACAAGTCTATGATATACTGTTATATTATTACTAAGTAGTGAGTATGTACAATTTACTTTCCTGTGAGAAAAGGAAAAAAAGTGGCTATAGGTACTGGGTAATGCCTTTTCTTGGCTCTCGATTTCCTTGCTAAAATATTTTTTCTGGGGCGCCTGGGTGGCTCAGTTGGTTAAGTGACTGCCTTCGGCTCGGGTCATGATCCTGGAGTCCCAGGATTGAGTCCCGCATCGGGCTCCCTGCTCAGCGGGGAGTCTGCTTCTCCCTCTGACCCTCCCCCCTCTCATGTGCTCTCTCTCTCTCTCTCATTCTCTCTCAAATAAATAAATAAAATCTTTAAAAAAATATATTTTTCCTGGGTCTTTACTCATTTGCTCTTGGAGTGGTGTTGCAACGTATTTGATAAATATATTTAGGAATAAACTTGGAAAGAATTACTGGCTGTGCAGAGTTCAGCTACACCCTTACCTCTTTCTGTCTCTCTCTGTATCTCTGTCTTTGCCTCCATCTCTCTCTCTCTCAATCTGTCTGTCTCTTT